AGCTGCCGTGAGAGAAGACAAAATGTGGATTCCCATGTCCCTCCATTCCAGATTTATGACCCAAGAATCCTCTTCGCACCCAAAGCCACACGTGACCTCAGCCACTGGACACGGTAAAGCACTTGGTCTAAAGAAATGCCATTTCGGGTTTCTTAAAGTGGATTCCTACCAGCGAAACTGTTGGGTGAAGTCCAGCTACCGTCTTGTTTCGTCACGGCCATCTTTCACACCACCTCTTGCAGTTGTGCAAAAGCAAACTATGGAAAGCCCCCCGGGATGCCTCTTCCACCAAGAGCTCCAGAGCACAGCCCGGGCGGTTGAGCAGGAAACGTGACGTGCTGGGATCGCCGCCCCCCCAGGAACTCTTCCAGGAAGGGAATCCATCAGACACCCCCCCTCCGCCCCCCGGGCTTTTAAAGGTGGTGCACCTGATCCTCAGGTATATTTGAGAGCCCCCAGTTAAGAGGCTGGCGTGGCACCAGCTCAAGAGGGTCTTTGCCATGCCCCCCCATCTGTACAGCATCCACTGATGGTGGTTTCTTCGGCGGGCCGTGGGTCTCTATTTCTTCAACCAAAAGCCCCACGGCAGAAAGGGGAGAACAGCCCACTGAGTTTGTGGGCTGTCAGGCAGCGCGTAACATCCTGTATCTGAAGTTTCCTATCCTGCTTTATTTGACTACCGGTAGGATCTGCAACAAAAGGGTTGCAGCGCATTCTTGCCCTTGAGCAGGGAGTGGCCCTGTCAGGCCTCCAGCCGGTGGGTCTCCTCCCCAGCGCTACAAGATACGAGGGGCTCAACCCAGCCAAGGACTTTAGGTGTGCGTCCTGCAAGTTTTCTTCGCGTTGCCACACAAAATGGAAATGCAGCATAAATGCAACATATACCCCATTCTAACCCTACTTGTTGGGAGAAAGACGAGACCCAAAACAAGTGCAGACGAAACCCCGCATGCGGAACGCCGCCCATGCTCTTCAGCCGCCTCTGAGGGTCGCACTGAAGGAAGGAATGGCCTTCACGTAGCACGGAAATTACACAAGGTGAATGCCGTTCTTCAGGTTTACTCTAGACGAAGGCTGCTTGGCTACCGGAGACCCAAAGAACGGGCACTCAGATGAGCTCCGTGGCACCCAAATGGTGCGAAAAGGCGCGCCCAGGCTGCCCTGGAGGAGCCCCCTCCCCCTCCCCGGGGCCTCT